TCATTTCATTCAAAGTTTTTTCAAACTTCAAGACTTACATATGTGTTGCATTAGAATTATCATTCTCATAATAAACATTCTTCTGCATACAAAACAACTGATTGACATCAAGTAAGTTTATACAATGAACAATTGGTGAAGAGCTCAATCTTGTCAGAGAAGAGAGGCTTGAATACCCTGTTGAAGCAAGAGTCGGCTGCCACAAGAGAAATGACTTATCCAGTAGCATGTTGATCGGTGATTCTGTATAGAGAAATCATCTTGGTACTTCACAATCTGAGTACAATTCAGGGATGAAGTTAGCAGAGCCAGCCAATCTGGGGAAATCAAGTCGAGAGTCGATCTCTCCAAGTTCAGCCAATCTGGGGCAATCAAGTCGAGAGTCGATCTCTCCGAGTTCAGCCAATCTGGGGCAATCAAGTCGAGAGTCGATCTCTCCAAGTTCAGCCAAATCTGGGGCATTCCCTCAAAGCTGTCAATTAGGGGCTATCACGTCGATAAATCTCTTCAAGCTCGATCAATCAGAGGCTATCACGTCGAGAGATCTATTCAGAATTCATTCAACCTGGGGCAGTTATGTCGAGATTCGACAAATCTCTCCAAGAAAGCTGTAATCAAGAGCAGTTTGTTTCGTGGCTCAAGACATTGGGGCAGGCCACCTCATATCGTATTATGGCACGAATCTTCTGGTATTCTATTCAACCTAGGTCTTCCCAGAGATCCTCCAGACAGGGGCATTCCTCATCCGTACTTAGTTGCTCAAGTCAATTATGTTGCACAAAACTATGATCAAGCTAAAAGCATCATAACGGTCACCCTGACCTAGCCAGCGCATGAAGCTACCTTCATTTTCTAAAGACAACTTCGAGTCTGATTCCCCAAGTGAATTCAGAAAGTCTAGAATCGTCTTTTGACTCAGCACGCGCAAGTGCATCCTCAGTGGAGTTAATCAAGAGCATCCCCAGTAAAGCTAAACTGGGGCATTCACAGAGCTGGACCGGGGCATTCGCAAAGCTCAACCGGGGCATTCGCAGAGCTAAACCGGGGCATTCATAGGTGTCCATGCCCATCTCTTATCCCCAAGTGATTCAAGAGATAATTTCCCAGTGTGCGTAAACTTGGGGCAGGTATTCGAAGAGATCCACATGGTGTTCAGTATCCATTATCTGGCATATTCAGTTCTATCATCCTCTCAATGGTTCAGAATGTATGGAGGTTTGGCCAGATTATCTCTTCCTCAAACGGTACGATTCAGAATCCAGCAGCATACCTAAAGACTCGCTTCGTCGGCAATTCAATCTTTAGCAAAGTCATCAACAATCTTTGGTATCAGGGGCTCCCCAGGGAAAAATTTTATCAGTATCCCCAACAACCTTTGATATTGCAGGCTTCCAACGTCGATATACATTGGCATCCCCAGTGATGAGCAGTGGTTCCCAGCAAGCCTACTCTTATCCCCATGAAGTTTATTTCTTTGCACTACATATAGTTATCACTGCATAACATTGCATCCTCAAAAGCGTGTAGCCGATCCATCAGAATGGATCTTTGCGGAAAAAGAAATTCAAACATGCATACGAAGCATAAGCCGGATCAGGTGCCTTACGTGAAAGACCTAAATTATTCAAGGACAACAATACGTCCCTACAGGAGGGTATCATGCCCAAAGTCCCCAATTGGTGACCTTCACCTTTTCAATGCCAAACAAAATCAATACACTTTGTCATTCTAAACCCAATTCTTGTCTGGTAGTCAGTCTCCTAAACACCCGTCCGTGTGAATTCTTAAACACTCGTCGTGTCAACTTCTGAACACCCGTCCATGTTTTTGACACTCACCTGTATCTTCTTTCAATGCTCGTCCGTATTGATTCAAACACTCATCCGTGTTTAAACTTTTAATAGTCGTCCGTATTGATTCAAACACTCGTCCGTGTTTAACCTATTGATACTCGTCTGTATCCCCTTTCAATACTCGTCCTTATTGATTCAAACACTCTCTGTGTTTAACCTTTTGATACTCGTCCGTATCCCCTTTCAATACTCGTCCTTATTGATTCAAACACTCGTTCGTGTTTACCTTTTGATACTCGTTTGTATCCCCTTTCAATACTCGTCCTTATTGATTCAAACACTCGTCCGTGTTTACCTTTTGATACTCGTCCGTATCTCCTTTCAATACTCGTCCATATTGAACCAAACACTCGTCCGTGTTTAACCTTTGATACTCGTCTGTATCTTCTTTCAATACTCGTCCGTATTGATTCAAACACCCGTCCGTGTTTAACCTTTCTTGATGCTCGTCCGTGTCGCTTATCTAAACAATCGTCATGTCGTAACCCATGTTTCCATCCTAGAACCTGAGATCTCCCGTAGGCTAGGTTCTTCTTTAGATCATCTTAGAACCTGAGATCGCCCGTAGGCTAGGTTCTTCCTTAGAACATCTTAGAACCTGAGATCGCCCGTAGGCTAGGTTCTTCCTTAGATCATCTTATAACCTGAGATCGCCCGTAGGTTAGGTTCTTCCTTATATCATCTTAGAACCTGAGACCGCCCGTAGGCTAGGTTCTTCCTAAGATCATCTTAGAACCTGAGATCGCCCGTAGGCTAGGTTCTTCCTCAGATCATCTTAGAACCTGAGATCGCCCGTAGGCTAGGTTCTTCCCTTAGATCATCTTAGAACCTGAGGTCGCCCGTAGGCTAGGTTCTTCCTTAGATCATCTTAGAACCTGAGATCGCCCGTAGGCTAGGTTCTTCCTCAGATCATCTTAGAACCTGAGATCTCCGGTAGGCTAGGTTCTTCCCTTAGATCATCTTAGAACCTGAGGTCGCCCGTAGGCTAGGTTCTTCCTTAGATCATCTTAGAACCTGAGATCGACGGTGGCTAGGTTCTTCCTTAGATCATCTTAGAACCTGAGATCGCCCGTAGGCTAGGTTCTTCCTTAGATCATCTTAGAACCTGAGATCGCCCGTAGGCTAGGTTCTTCCTTAGATCATCTTAGAACCTGAGATCGCCCATAGGCTAGGTTCTTCCTCAGATCATCTTAGAACCTGAGATCGCCCGTAGGCTAGGTTCTTCCCATAGATCACCTTCTTGGAACCTGAGATCGTCCGTAGGATAGGTTCTTCCTTAGATCATCGTCGAACCTGAGATCGCCCGTAGGCTAGGTTCTTCCTTAGATCATCTTAGAACCTGAGATCACCCATAGGCTAAGTTCTTACTTAGATCATCGTCGAACCTGAGATCGCCCGTAGGCTAGGTTCTTCCCAATACCGTCACCGTCGAACCTGAGATCGCATCTTGGCTAGGTTCTTCCTTTAAATCATCGTCGAACCTGAGATCGCCTCTTGGCTAGGTTCTTTCCGTATATTTTGTCTTAGGACCTGAGATCTCCCTTTGGCTAGGTTCTCTGTCAAATCACTCTCATGTTTCACTTTAGGATCGTAGGTCGCCCGAAGACCTCGTCTGCTGTCTTTTCATACCAACCATTTGTCTTGTATTGGCATCAAGCCACATTACAAGTCCAATCTCTGTCTCTTCATTGAAAAAACAAAAAAAAAAATCTTTCCCCCAACAGATATCAAAAGTCATAGAAAAATCAGAAAATACTTAAACTTTCTCTCAGAATAAATTTTTGGCATTGGTATTTAATCATCTTCTACCTTGAACTTCCGAGAGGCACGCGCCAATCGTACTTTCAGGTTTAAGATGATTAAATAGGGGCAGCTGTAATACCCCAAATTTGTCCTACCCTCTCACTTTTATCTGGTTTATGCATTGTCGCGCTTTTCTCATGTACATATCTCCATTAGGTCATTTAACATTGCATACATTCGCTAACAACATAGTTTCGCAAGGGGTCGAGAACCTTCAGGATTAGGGTTTTATCAACTGGCTAAGGTGTATATGTTCAAATAGAGCCTGATTCTTCTAGTTATTTTTCAAGGCAGTGAAATTGCGGAATTAGGGTTTTGTGTTCATCGATGTTGTGGATCTTTTCCTCATCAAGCCACAAGGTTGTCCTCCATCAAGAATTCATCCAGAGCAAAGTACATTAGGGTTTTTACTTATGGTATTTGGTGTCTCATCAAGGTTGTAGTTGAGGTTAGTTTGAACCGGGATTTTGGCTTAAGCTATCTTTCTCCTCATTGAGCATCCAATGCCAGAGAATTAGGGATTCAAAGCACTAATTTTGTCGATCATCAAGTAAAGACGTAATGCTAGGATGATGTTACGAATTCACTAAGATTAAGGCATTATTGGTTCTCTCATTTCTTTTTTCCTTATGGTGAAAGTATTCGTTCAAGTGATTATTTGGGGTCATGAGTTCAAGTGGTTCGAATTTGTTAAATTGGACCAATATTTTAAGAGGCAAAGCGTATTGAGTTTGGAAAGTCCATCTACGTGGATTCCTTGAAATTCAAGTCACTTCGAAGAAGAAAGCACACCATGTTCATCCGTGATCAAGATTTTGGATTTCAAATAAAAGTCTTTCTTTAGTCATCTTTGAGTTTATCTCGTGAGTCATCCATAAAAAAGGGTTCGATATCATATGTTTCATTCAAGTTGCAAATGAAGAGAAGCATTGGGAGCTCTTAGTTCTATTTGAAGAGAACTTGATTTTGGATAGGAGATTGAAGATTTGGAATTGCCAAATTAATATTGCATTCAAGAATATTCAAGTTTCATTCAAATTTCCACCAAGTATTAAAAGAGGGTTCAAAGCCATTTCTTTAGAATATTCATCATGAAAGTGGAAGCAAACTTCTTTACAAAGCAAAAGAATTCATATTTTATGTTACATTCAATCATACCATTACAACTCCAAACAATCTACTTTCCAAAATAGAAGGAATTTACACAAAGAAAATGCACCGAATATTACAAAATTACGAATAAATCCAAGTCCCATGACCAAGCCTTTTCTCACTTTTCACATCATGAGTCGAGTCTCCATTTAACCTGATACTATTACTATGCCTTTTATCCAAGTGAATTCTTTAAGCCCTCCATCGTTCTTCAAACCCTTCATGGCCTGCATCATTAAGAAAACCAATCTCAATTAGCCAAAGTTCGGGCAGCCCTGCATCAATTGATAAGAATAACCAATTCCCAACAAACCAAAACAGAATTCACTACCAATAACCAAAACAGATTTCTAAACCCTTAATTGTCAAACAGAACTAGTAACTAACTTCAACAGAATTTAACAACTCAACTGAAACTAACTGCTAACTGATTTCCTCATTAACCAACCAAAACTAACAGTCCATAAGTAACTATAACTAACAGCTAACAAACTCTCTAAGAAAATAAATTCCAGCATAACAGAATCGTAGCAGAAAGGATGGAAGAGAGTATCAGGAAGATAACAGAAAGAGGAGAGAAAAAAGTAATTCATGCTTCATTATTCATTCACCATAAATAGTCATAAAAAATCAGAGACTAACCTTTCAACCTGCACTCTCAAACTCCATTCTCTCTTTGAAACTTCCATCGTTCCCTCTCTCTATGCAAAACACAATCAAGCTTTCTTCTCTTCCGCACCTTACATCTTCATCTTCATCATTCTTCATTCTTTCTAGAGAATCACCATAAGCTTCATCTCCTTTCTCTCTTCTCCTCTCATATACATCTTCATCATTCTTCAACACCCTGAAGAATCACCATCAAACTCTCTTCCCCTCTTATCTTCATCTTCATCTTCATCATTCTTGAATTCTCTGAATAATCACCACAAAAAGCTCTAAAATCCTCTCTGAAATCTCTCTCTGAATCTATGCTTCAGTGTCACTTCAACACACAATTCTTCACATCTCTCTGAGACCCTTCACGAAAAAATCTTCATTCCTTCTCTGTAAATCATCATCTTCATCTTCATAGATCTTCAATCTTCGAGCACATCATCTCCAAGCTTCCGCGTTGACGCATCTTCCTCTAACACCAGAACATCACTACATCAGCAAATCATCGCAATTTCAACGAGCTTCATTCTGCAATCAACAACAATAATACACATCACACAACTTGAAACGCGGAAACGAAAATAGAAGAAGAGTCAAGGAAGAAGATTTGTAATCCTCAACATAAGAAGAGAAATAAGAAACATACCTCTGATTATCTCGTCATTCTCATCACTACGAAGAAGCCGTTGGAGCATCTCTGGTAGGTCAGCTCCTGTATCTTCTTTTCTTCATCATTTTTACGATTCGTGAGAGGTTTGAATAAAGAGTAAATCAGAAGTATGAGGTTAAAACGTGATGGTGATGAATGTTGCTAAGGAGTCAGACTTGAAGCAAGATCGGATGAAAAGACGGTGAATGGAGGTTTGTTTGGTTACCAGCGCCGACGATGAAAAGTGCAACGGAGGTAAACAGTGGCTTTATGTCGCGAATCGAAGCGGAGATACAGATTGAGGGAGACGGGGGTCGCCGAAGTTGAAATATTGAGGCGAAGGAGATCTCACGGCGGTAGAAAGTGAGAGGGTTGTAGAGGTTACGCCATTTGGTGTGAGAGGAAGAAGGTGATTCTGTTTGAGAAGATGAAGGGACACAAACCTTCAACCCTAATCCCTTTTAATTTTCTTTTTTTTTAATCTGATGTTTTGTTTAATTTTTAATCAAAGGATAAATATAATTTTTGGGATATGAAGGATATTGTGGGGGCTTGGTCTGAATTATACAGCCTAGGCCCACTGAATGTTTTTTTTAAGACATAGTGTGGAAGCAAAAAAAGCCTGGTTGGACTTTTGATGGGCTAGTGCCTGAGTTCCTATGCTACACCCTCTGAAATCCAGCTCACACCTCTCCTGACCCTCATATTTTCTTGTTAAAATTCAGGACCATTTTTAGTTTCTTTATTGGATGTAGGAATTTTTCTTTGTTAATTTTTCCGTGACAAAACTATAAAATCAATAAAATTTATTAGATCTCCTTAGTTGATTTTAGGAATTAATTCTTTAATTTTCTTGATATAATTTTCCTCATATAAAAAACTAATAAAAATACATTTTCTTTTTAGTTGTCATCCGATTTTCATGCCGCTTCGCCATGTTATTTTTGACGCGTTTGTTCATTGTGCAAGGAATTTCTGATTATGCGCCACATTCTCCACACGCGTTTGCCTTTATCTTAGTTGGGTATCGTTTCTGACTCTGTTTGTTTCTTGGTGAAGCTTGCTCGGCATGTACTCCCTGCTTTTTCAGTGCTTTCGTCTGCTTTTGATGACTTGCTCGCTTTGGTAGCCTCCGCTACTACCCTTGTACTTCTTCGCACCTTATTGCATTTCTTTATTGCTTCCTAGAGATCGTATGACATATGATAAAATTAGGTTTAGAAATAGGCTAGTCTCCTTTTATTTTTTCTTTCCCTTTAGCATATGCATTTAAAATAAAAACTTCTTTTTTCTTTTCAAAATCCAAAACACTTTAAAACTATTGATGAGAATCATGCCTTTGCTTAGTATGGGAAATGATAAGCGGATCTCTTCTCGATCTTATTGTTCTTCATCTCAAGCCTAGATGTGGTTCAATTCTCAAAGACCCCTTTCATAGCTAAGTAGAAAAGTGGCTAATATCTCTCTCTTGAGGTCGACTAGTCACTATCTGCAACAAAAATACAAATCAACTCAAACCATTTGTGCGCTCGAGCACTTTTCTAAAAAAAACCTTTTCAGGTAAGGACACGATTAATTTACTTTTGTGCCAACGCATAAGTCTGCAAAGGTCGAGCTGCGGCAGAAGGCGGAATTAACTTCGTCCATAAATAAAAAACACACAAACAAGCAAAAACATATGAGCCGAACTACGGTAGCTCTGATTCCTCAAAACGGATACGTAGGCATTGGGGTAGGGCCCAAGCGAGCATAATTTTATTTTCCCTACATTCTTTTCTCCTTTATTTTGCATGCATTCTCCCTTAGCAGTAATAAACAGTAAGCATAGATTAAACACACCCATAAGATAGACAACAAGAGTGGATACCGTAGAGTACTACGGGCGTGTGGGGTGCTAATACCTTCCCCTCGCGTAACAGACTCCCTTACCCGAACTCTCGGTCGCAAGACCGTGACTTTTCCCTTCTCAGGTTTTCTCGATGTTTACCTTTCCTTACATGTGGGATAAAAGACGTTCGATGGCGACTTCATTGTTTGATGATTTTCAGCCGGTTGTTTCATCGGGTCTCGCAGTCGGTAAACTTTTTGCTAAGGTAATAAATAGCATGCTCTTTTCGGCCAGACTCGTCATGTTGACCCAACACACACCCCATTGAGTTGTCGAGTACTGTCAAGTATAAGATCAAAGGTCTCCCCTCAACTGGTGGCATCAGAATAGGTGGCTTCTGGAGATACCCTTTGATCCTTTCGAAAGCGGCCTGGCATTCATCATTCCAACGTACTACTTGATCTTTCTTCAGTAACTTAAAGATTGGCTCACAAGTAGCAGTCAGGTGTGAGATGAATCGAGCAATGTAGTTCAGACGTCCCAAAAAGCCTCTGACTTCTTTCTCTGTTTTGGGAGCTGGCATCTCTTGTATGGCCTTCACCTTTGTCGGATCCACTTGAATACCTTTATTGCTTACGACGAAACGCAACAACTTACTAGATCTCCCCCGAAGGTGCACTTGTTCGGGTTTAACCTCATTTTGTACAACTTCAACCTGTCAAACAGCTTCTGAAGGTGGTCAAGGTGTTCTTCCTCCGTCTGGGATCTTGCAATCATGTCGTCGACGTATACCTCAATCTCGTGATGGATCATGTCATGAAACAAAGCAACCATGGCACACTGATACATTGCCCCAGCATTTTTCAATCCAAAAGGCATGACCTTGTATCAAAAGGTGCCCCATTGAGTAACAAAGGTCGTCTTCTCCATGTCTTCGGGAGCCATTTTAATCTGATTATAACCGGAGAAACCATCCATAAGGGAGAAGACTTTATGTTGAGCGGTGTTGTCAACCAGAACGTCGATATGAGGTAGAGGGAAGTCATCCTTGGGGCTTGCCCTGTTCATATCTTTATAGTCAACACACATTCGAACCTTACCATCCTTTTTCGGCACAATAACCACGTTGGCCACCCACTGAGGGTAATAAGTAACTGCTAGAAAACCGGCGTCAAACTGTTTCATAACTTCAACCTTTATTTTCTCGGACATCTCTGGGCGCATTCGGCGGACCTTCTGTTTTACTGGAGGACAATCTTCCTTGGTAGGAAATCGGTGAACCACAATATCGGTATCTAACCCAGGCATATCTTCGTAAAACCAGGCAAAGATCTCAACATAGTCACGCAGCATCTGAATCAACCGTTGCTTCACACTAAGCTCCAGATTTACCCCGATCTTGACCTCTTTCTTGTCTACCTCTGTACCCAGGTTCACTGTTTCCACTGGCTCTTCATGTGGCTGTATAACCCTCTCTTCCTGGAGTAACAGTCTTGCAAGCTCACCAGGAACTTTGCAATCATCTTCACCTTCGTCTTCGGCTAAGTTGATCGGACTTTCAAAGTCATAACTGGCAGTAGAAGAGTCGTTACTAGTGAGATCCAGAGTGGATGTAGACCTGTATATGTGAGTGTGTGTAAAATAGCTATTTTGCAATATGTAATAAAAGAAAAACAAGGAGCACAAAATTTGAAATGCAAGAAACGTCTAATGCTTTATTAATGATATATGTAAATGACACACATAAAGCCCTCACACATGAAACCACAGTGCCCCGGGTAAGACACCGGGCCGTAAAGTTTAAAACATTGTCTGTTACAAATTCAAACAAAGAGTTTCATTACTGGGTAACAAAAGAAATAGGGATGAAGTCCTTTGATGTCCAATTGCTTAGTCCTCCATCAGTAGTAGGATAGATCCAACTGTCAAACTCAGTCTCTTCAACATCGTCTTCAATGGCATTCACTCCTAAATTGCTGATGAACAAGGGAGGTCTTCCGATTCGTGCATTCCGAATAGCCTTCTGAGCTTCTGCAGTGAAACCTAAACCAAACTTGTTAGTCTTCTGTGCAAAATCAGGGAGTTGTCCCCAATTTGCACACCCACCTTTCTCGATGACAGCCCGGGCATCCTTGAAGGAAGCCATCTTCATAGGAGGATCTTCAACAATAGTCTCAGTTGATGCCAGTGTCTGGGGAACCTCTTAAAAATGTTGGAACGGGGTCTCAATGAACTCCCCATCCATCTCTACATATCAGAAAGAGTTGAGGTGGCTCACCATGTACTCCTCTTCTTTTTGCACTGTCACAATCTTCCCTTTGACCGGGTACTTCAGTTTCTGGTGGAGCGTAGACGTCACTGCCCCAGCTTTGTGGATCCATGGTCGACCCAGCAAACAAGAATAAGATGGCCGAATGTCCATCACATAGAATGTAGATGCAAAAACCTGAGAACCAACCTTAATCGGGATATCAACTTCTCCATGCACCATTCTCTTAGACCCATCAAAGGCCCTAACAACAATGTTACTTGGTTTCAGCTCCAACCCTTCACAGTCCAACCAGTCTAGAGCTTTCTTAGGTAAAATGTTCAATGAGGAACCAATATCCACCAATACATGAGCAAGAGTAGTTC